GGAACATTCATTAGCAATTATCCCTGTTTGCAGCTTGATCTGGGGACATCTGATACCCACTTAATGTATGTTCAAAGCACCGGCTCCAGTGAGAGGGCAAATCTAGTAGCTGGTTTTTGAGGAGCCCAGCACTCAGCTTCCTTTTCCAGCTTGTACTCAGATGCCACATTTAACCTTGAGCTCTTTCTCTGTGTGTTAACCTGCCTAGAGATCTGCTTCCTCCCCCACTTCCCCCCCCCGCCTGCTAATCTCTTTACAGCTAAGATCTCACAAACCTGTAAGCTGCAAATTGAAGCCCAACCAGTGTAGTCACAGAGATGGGAAGAGCCGGGAGGGTGGTGGTTACGTGGACGCCGATAAGTGGAGAGTGTACGTGGGGTTTTTGACTGCAAAGCAGTGGGCTGGAGCAGCAGTTGGTAAGCCATGCCGGCTGTTCACAGCCCACGGAGCCCACCATACTCCCAACTGCCATGTTGCAAGCCTGCTACGAGGTGGCAGAAGGTCTGAAAGGAGGCTGAATCATATTTTTTACACTGTAGTTACATTGCATAACCCCTCTCTTCCAAGCTTTCCTGCTCATCTACAGGATTGGAGGAGCATGGGTTTTCTCCTTCTTGAGGGACAACCGTGCCCCTGATTCTTTTTTGTAGAGGGCTTTTTAGCCACATTCTCATAAATGCTGAGTTGCTTCCTGCTGGAGACAATGTCAAAGCCTGGAGTACTGGCATCTGTCTTATTTACACCCTCAAGGTAATACCAATGAGTACTGTTGAAATTAGGAAGGACTCCATCAGGCTACTGGCTGGGTTTGATTCTTGGTCTGTTGTAGAGAGGGAGCATGGTTTCCCTCTAAACTGACCTTTTGTTTAGAAGATTGCTGTTACAGATTCTCTTTACTGGAGATATGCCCTGTATTCTCTCTCTGGCACTCGACATGGCTCTTGGAGTTTTCCTCCAAGTCTCACATGTGCTGAAGTGCTGTCTGTGGGATGTTGTAGTTGGAAGTAAATTTGTTCTCTGTTGGAAGTAAATTACTGCTCTGCAGATTGTAGAATGACTCGTCTGACCTCTTAGGGCAGAAACATTGAGAAATTAGGTTTTTAAACACTTGGGCAGCTTTGGAAAGTGTGATGGAGACAAATGTGTTTGGTGTCTTGGTGGCAGCGTCTCCACTGAGTGAGAAGGTCAATGCAGGAGTTGCCAACAGGGCAAGCACCTTTAGCACAGGGCAGGTGTGTACTGGTGCCCTGGCACTGAGCTAGGTGGCAGGAAGAGCCGTAGAGGTGGAGGAGTGCTGCTGTTCAGCTGTGCTGTCTGCCTTTATCTTGTTGGTGACGAGACAAGATAGCGTAGATACAGTCTGTAGGTGTCCACAGGTGACGTTGCTCATGGTGATCATGTGTGGCATTGAGAGTGAGCGCTGTTTAGGGGACTGAACAGCAGCAGGGAGAGATTCTGGGTAGGAAACAGTAACAGATCCAAGTGAGCTCTAGGAGTGAGGTGTATGGAGGTGTTTTCTGAATATGGTAAATATGGGAAGCTGGTTGCAGGTGCACTGGGGAAGGGCTGGGCTCCAGGTCCTGGTGATGTGTCGTGTGGCAAAAGCCCATCTGGCCGTGTCTGTGTGAAGGTTGCAGGCAGGGGTTTCATGAGATCCAACCTCTTGCTGCTCACTAAGAGAAGGTTCGTTTCCTACCAGTCCCTGGCCACACACTCCTGCCACTCACCCACTTCATCAGACCCTTTGAGTAGTTCAGCCAAGTAAACTGGCAGAAAACTGACTTTATCTGGGTAAATGAGTTGAATTGACTTGTGGAGGTGGCTGGGGGAAGAGGAGAGCTTGGGAAGTACGTGGGATTAGCATCTTGGGAGGGCCCAGCATGCTGTGGGAGCTCAGCCCCATCTTCTCCACCTGGGAGCATCTTGTCTCTAGGCAGAGGAAAGGGTTACAGCTCCAGCAGGCAGGAATATTCTGCTTTTGTTGTTCACCAGAATGGGATAAGAGGTTTCCGGGGTGGGTACAATAGGAAGCCTTAACTGTGGCACACAAGGGGCTCCTTCCCTGCCTCCTGGGAGTGAGATGCCAGAGAAGGACCGAGGCATTTAGAATGCAGGAGATGGATGGATTTGGCACACGTACAGAAACATACCCTGGGAGCAGAGGTGAAAGGCTGGAAGTGTAAACCTGAGTTGCAGCTGTGGCATCCGCCTTGGCCATGGGATTGGATGGAGATGGAAGCTTTTGGAGCTGCAGGTTTGATCCTGATTTTGGATGAAAGCTGCCAGTGGAAGAACCAACCTGGCTGTGGCTTTTGCTGCTGATGTCTGAATTATGAGCATAGTCCTTATGTAGGAGCCTGTAGGGTGCATGAAGGGGAACTTGGTGATGGCCGGGTCCACCTAGGAGATGGTGGCTGGGGAGATCTGGGAAGCAGCTGTACTCCAAGCAGCAAGACCTCTATGGCACAGCCCAGACACACAACCTGGCTGAAGAAGCCACTGGCCAAAACGTGGGGTAGAGTTGGGATGGACCACCTCAGCCACCAGGTCTGGTGGTGGCTTATGCATCATCGCTTTATGGTGCCGCCTCTGGAGGCCGTGTCAGAGTGGGAACTGCCGGACACCTCAGGTCACCCATCACCTGTGTGATGCTGAGAGCAAGAACGTGGCACCAGCATTTCACACTCGCCAAGCATTCGCTGGAAATTGGCTCTTTCTAACCTTCCAAAATCCTCCTTCCCTGCATATGGGAAATGAAACTCCTTGGCATTGGCACGGAGCAGTGGAAGCGAGTCAAGTAATGTGGCTCAGACAAAATAAAAAAATAGAAGAGGGAGAAGCCTCTCCAAGCCTAAATGGGTAGAACGGGGCATCTGCGTGCGAGGCAGAGCAGGGCAGCTCTTTCTGTGCACGTACATCTCTCTCTCTTGCTTGGTGAGCAGCTCTTACATGCTGTTGTAAAGTGAGAGGGGCTGGAAGTGCTTTCCCTGCCTGATCCAATTCTGGTGTTGGGCTTCTATAAATCTCCGCTAACCGCTGGCAATGCTGCCAAACCTGCTGCAGTGCAAGGAGGGTGGGTTGCTCCTGCTCCCCTCACCGTGCCCAGCTGTTCCAGGCCAGATCCAAACTCATCTTGGCAGGTCGGTGAGAGCTTTTCAAACACTCAGCCTAGGAGTCATTTGTTAGTAACAAATGGGGGATTTGCCAGGACACGCTGCTCCATCTGGTCTGGCATCCTGTCCCCTACAGCAGCCTTGACGGATCTGCTCGAGGAAGGCAGGGGAGCAAAAAAACCCCAAAGGCAGTTTTCCCAGGGAAGGAAAACAGCTTCCGCAGTCTGTTTGAACTGAGTTTCCTGGGCTGGAGCACCTTTGTGTAATGCCCTCACCTCTGTGTCTGTCAGCACAAGGTCTGCAGCTAATAGAGAACTTGAAGTGATGGCTTGTAGATACATTTTTTATTACTGTTTTGCATTTCACTTGTGAACACCAGTGAGGCTGAGCTGCATCCAGACAGGACTTTGGTGTACTTCCCTCACTGAGTGGGCTTTTTTTTTCTCCTTTTCCCCCTGTGGTTAATAAAAACAACAATCTGTTCATATTCTGCCTGTTCCCCATGTCTTCACCACAGACAACTCTCTCTGTAGACTCCATGCTCAGAGACAGCCCTGGCTTCTCTGAGCCGTTGACCTGGCACATTGCAAATGGCTTTTCTACTGCTCACCCTTTGGATGCAGAGAGATCTCAAGGGCTGTGTGTCCCACTCTCTCCAAATCTCAAAGACCTTATGTTTGGGCTGAACTTTGTGGGGAAGAGATGGAGATGTATCTGCAGCTAGGACAGCTGCTTTGGTAGAAGATGTGGTCATCCTTCTGGTGGTCGTCATCTTGTTGGGTTGGCCAGGCTGTTTTGGTTGAGGTGCCAGTGTGTCATCCACAGCTGGCTGGGGATTTGGTGGGGGCTCCTGCAGCCCCACCCAGCGCAATCTGGGAATGCTTTGGGCTGCAAATTGGTCCCATGCTTGTCCCAGTGCAAAGATGGCATTGAGTAGGTGAGCTTGGGAGGGCAGGGCCCTGGATCGCCACTCTCAATGCCCCACATATTAGATCACACCTTAAGTCCACCTTTTTGGGAAGCAGCTTGTTGGGCAGATCCAAGTAACTCCAGCAGAGATTTGATGAGAAGGGGTTTAGCAAGAGACTTGCTCTGTTCAAGACCAAAGCAAGTATCTTGCCTTTTAAAAATTTTTTTTCCCCTTCAAAGTTCTTGAACTGGCTTAGTCTGTGCTGCTGCAGCCTAGATACAACCCATCTCTGGTATTAGACTTGCTCTTCTCCTGACCACCAAGCTCTTGTCACACCGTGGCTGTCAGTCTGACTCTGCTGTGTCTGTCTGTTCCATAGTATCCAGATCTGAGCCAGGAGTCTGGGTCTCCATTTGTCTTTATCTGCACCAATCCCCAGGAGATGGTTCTGAAGTTTCCCATCAAAGGAAAACACAAAATCTGTAAGTAGTAAAGTTTCCACAAATGCCCCCTTTGCCTTTTGTGCCTGCTCTCATCACCACCTCTACTTGCCTTTGCCATATGAGTTCACAACCTTTGCCCTGTGCTCTTTGATCTGTAGGTGTTTGTTTAATGACTCAAATACATCTGTAATTTTTTTTTTTTTTCTTCAGTTCCCCTTTCCCCAGATGTTGCTTCCTTCCAAAATACATGCCTCTTCCTGCCTCTGCAAACATGCAGGAATCAAAGAGCTCTCCTGTCTGCAGCTGGTCTGCTGCTGGCATCAGCCCGGGTCAGGATGCGAACCAGGGTGGCAGTGCTGGTGCAGATCCGGGCCAGCTCTTTGCCTGTGGTTCAGAATTGCCCTCTCACACACAAGGATGGGGAAGGCTTGAAGCAGAAAGAGCTGCAGGGCCAGATGGATGTTCTCCATCCACGGGCCAGCAGGATGGGATGTCCTGGCAGAGCTCACAGGGAAGAGCCACAGCATCTGTCCGCTCTCCGCTTGCCAGTGTCGTTAGTCCCTTTTATGAGCCACCAGCCCCTCCACAGGCTGCCAGTTATTCCTGCCTGCTGCCGTAAAAAGGATGGAGGAGGGATGCAGCAGCTGGGGAGCCTACAGTCAGCTCTGTCCTTATTAGCAGCCTCCCCACCACACAGCCTGGGGAAGGCACCATACACGCTTTCAGGGGATGTGAAAAATTAATTTGACGGGCTAAAAGCAGCATAAGCAGAAATAGTCTTGGCTGTTTGTTTTGCAGAGCTGACGACTGGGTTTTCTTTCCCGTTTGCATCATGGTTTTCTGGGAGTAGTTATCTAGGGGCACAGGAGCGGCAGGGTTTCTTGGGACTGGTTAATAAGGGCTTTTGAAGCACAGTGTGAGGTTATTTTTGTTGTTTTGAGGGTTTTCTTTGCTCTCTCTGCTCAGAGATGCACCATTCTTCCATGGCTTCAGTCTCCCCGGGCCGTGGGGCAGTACCTGCCCTTCTGGGATACTGAGCAGGGCGGAACTATTTAGTGTCTTCCCTGCTTTTGCAGCAGCGTCTGGGCGGTGTGTTCAGCCCGACGGCGACAGGCGATGCTCAGTGAGCTGCAGCGCTCGGAAGTCGCTGGCAGCACGGGGGGGAGGGACGGGTCTGTCCCGGCTGGGCGGGCAGGGCTGCACTTACTTATTTAGGATGCAAAAGTCTTTGCTGCCGTGGAGCAGCCTCGTCCTTGTTGCACGCTGGAGCAGCTGCGGCACCCGTTTTTTTTTCCTTGTTTCAAGCCCTCCTTGCTCTACCTACGGGCTCTCGTGCCGCTGTGCTCCTGCATCTGCCTCTGCCCGGCCGCGGGGAGGAGCTGAGGTGGCAGGGTGAGGTGCCGGCGGGGCCGCAGGGGTAGCTACTGGGCAGCCGGCTTCTCCGTGTCTGCCTGGCCTGCCTGGCCGGGTGCAGGCACTGCCTGTCCCCTCCCCATCTGTCACATCGTCTTCCTTTGTGTTGTGACACTTTCCTGCTTGGAGAGGGATCAGTCTAACAGCCTGGAAGGAAGCTGGCTGTGCTGGCGGCTGCTTGCACTGCCTGCTCCTGCTGCTGGCCCTGCCTTCCTGCCCTCCATCCCCACAGGAGCTGTCACAGCACAAGTGGCAGGGGGGCCTGTGGAGTTGCACATTCCCCTCCCGGAGGGGACATCATCTGTCTGGGTGATATTTGTGACAGCTTAGAGAAGGAGCAGGGAAAGCTTTGACCTTTCATCAGGGTAAGGTGTTTTTTTAATAGCAGCTGGCATTGTGTCCAAGGCAGTCAAAAGCTTAATTCTTCAAGCTGGAAGCAGAGCACGGGGAAGGCTCCAGCTCATGTCCCTACCTGAGCTCACTGGCTGCCCCGGTTGCCTTGAAGCCTGACTCAAGCCATGACAAAATGCCAGTTTGTCTTGTTGGGAAGCCAAACTGGAGCAGTTTTTCCTTGCCAGGTAACAGCATGGACCTTGCTGCGATGACATCTGAATACTTCTCCATTGCAAATTAGTCCTTTCTAGCAGCCTGGGAATGGGGAAAAAAAAGCCCTAACATAGCTGGATTTTTGGTGCCAGGGTTATTGTTTGTGTGGATGAGTTGGGCACTGTGTTTGCATTGTGTTTGGGGGCATGGCTGTCCCCGAACATGTCCCTGCTTAGTATGAGGACAAAGCTCAGTGGTGGTTCTCGTGGGAGATTTCCTTCAATCCAGGCAAAGCCTCCCTGGAGTGTTGTTCAGAACCCTCCCTTCAGCAGCCACGGGCTGGAGGAGCCCGGAGGAGGGACCCAGCGCAGTACAAGGCCAGAGTCCTTGAATCAATGAGCAGAAAGAAAAGGAGCCCCTGGGGCTGCTGCCTTATTTTTAGCCTTTTCCTAAAGGTTACCCATGTGATGTTTTATCTTGGCCAGCTGATAGAGCCAGGGAGCCTCTTGATCACTTTTGGGGTCTGGGAGGAGCAGACAAGCATGTTAAAGATGAAACTTACAGCCCTGGAGGTGACACAGCCTTCATGGTGGGGGACCAGAGCATGAAGTGTGAACTTGCTGCCTTTCTCCTGCTAAAAGCCCCACAGCTTGGGGACAGTGACCTGACATGCCACTTCCAGATAGTGCATCCATGCTGGCCTCATTGGGTGTCCAGCGCTGTTTCCCAGAGGGAGCTTCTTCGAGCTGTCACACCAGAAGTGGCAGGGGAGCCTGTGGAGTTGCACATTCCCCTCCCGGAGGGGACATCATCTGTCTGGGTGATATTTGTGACAGCTTAGAGAAGGAGCAGGGAAAGCTTTGACCTTTCATCAGGGTAAGGTGTTTTTTTAATAGCAGCTGGCATTGTGTCCAAGGCAGTCAAAAGCTTAATTCTTCAAGCTGGAAGCAGAGCACGGGGAAGGCTCCAGCTCATGTCCCTACCTGAGCTCACTGGCTGCCCCGGTTGCCTTGAAGCCTGACTCAAGCCATGACAAAATGCCAGTTTGTCTTGTTGGGAAGCCAAACTGGAGCAGTTTTTCCTTGCCAGGTAACAGCATGGACCTTGCTGCGATGACATCTGAATACTTCTCCATTGCAAATTAGTCCTTTCTAGCAGCCTGGGAATGGGGAAAAAAAAGCCCTAACATAGCTGGATTTTTGGTGCCAGGGTTATTGTTTGTGTGGATGAGTTGGGCACTGTGTTTGCATTGTGTTTGGGGGCATGGCTGTCCCCGAACATGTCCCTGCTTAGTATGAGGACAAAGCTCAGTGGTGGTTCTCGTGGGAGATTTCCTTCAATCCAGGCAAAGCCTCCCTGGAGTGTTGTTCAGAACCCTCCCTTCAGCAGCCACGGGCTGGAGGAGCCCGGAGGAGGGACCCAGCGCAGTACAAGGCCAGAGTCCTTGAATCAATGAGCAGAAAGAAAAGGAGCCCCTGGGGCTGCTGCCTTATTTTTAGCCTTTTCCTAAAGGTTACCCATGTGATGTTTTATCTTTGCCAGCTGATAGAGCCAGGGAGCCTCTTGATCACTTTTGGGGTCTGGGAGGAGCAGACAAGCATGTTAAAGATGAAACTTACAGCCCTGGAGGTGACACAGCCTTCATGGTGGGGGACCAGAGCATGAAGTGTGAACTTGCTGCCTTTCTCCTGCTAAAAGCCCCACAGCTTGGGGACAGTGACCTGACATGCCACTTCCAGATAGTGCATCCATGCTGGCCTCATTGGGTGTCCAGCGCTGTTTCCCAGAGGGAGCTTCTTCCCCATTCCTTAAGCAAGTGGGAAAAGTCTTCTCCCACACAGAGTGGCAGGAAGGATGGGGGATCTCCCAGACCTTGTAGGAGAGCGTGGTGAGTTGCAAACCCTCGCTCACATTTTTTGGTACTTGTTATGGATTTCATGCATTGAACTTCCCTCTCAAGCTCAGACAGGAGCAAGGCTGGCCCAAAACTCAAGCAGAAGGAGGAGGATCCATTTCAGGGTGGCTCAGTTGTCCTGGTGGGACATCCTGAGTGAAGCCTCTCCTAAGAAAAGCATTGTCAGACTCTTTGTTGAGCTGAAATTGGGAAATTTTATTGGTCTCCCACAGGTTTGAAGCCATTTTCTATGTACAAGTGTCTGCTTCTGATGGCACATGGGCATTTACCAGCAGTTTTTGGAGCAGTGGCCAAAGTGGGGCCTGTTTGGAGCCTGGTGTCTGTGGTCCCCAACAGGGATGAGATCTGCTGTGTGCTGTAGCTGGGCTGGAGCAAGGCAGCAGCAAGGCAGCTCTCGAAGGGATTGTGTGGGCTGTGCTTCACCCATGGGGTGACACCAAGCTTGATTCCCTGGAGGGATGATGCTGCAGGACCTGGATGAGGTGGCTGCCAGCTCTAGTTCCATCCACCTCACTGGAATATCATGGGGATGAGCTGTATCTGTCCATCTCCTTTTGAACAAGCTCTGATATCTTTGCTTCCCCTCCTGATGGTGTGACCACGTTGGCTGGCTGTGCACCTCCCCAGAAACCAGGTCCCAACTCACCGCAGACTTCTGCAACATAGTGGAGCCCTGTCCTTGCTCCCAGCTACAGAGAGAGACGGGATGAGGATGGGAATATGCAGGGGAGTATGAACAGGGAGGCAAGTTCCCAGGAAAATGTGGCATTAGAGAAAGTGACTGGTGCTAGCTGATGGCAGAGCCTCTCTGGGACGCTGGCTCTTTGCTGTACTGTCTTGCTTAAGGTCACTTTCCCTTTTTCCCTCTCTTGTTTGGAGAAGGGAGCTTTGACTGGAACAGTAGTAGCATCCTTGCTTGTTTATGGGCAGGGAGAGGGGGATGGGGATGCACCTCTGAGGCAGCACATCACCTTCCCAGCTTGCTCACTGTGCCTGGTTTTTGGCCTAGTCTGCAGGAGTTGCTCAGACCCCATGTGTTGATGTCCTGCTCCTCTTCTGGGTGGGAACATGGAGCTGGCAGTGAAGCCACCAAGGGCTGTGAAGGACAATGGGGGGTAGTGTTTTCTCTGGGTCCCACCAGAGCAGCTGACTGTGGGTGCCTGGGCTCCTTGAGGTGCTCCCCAGTGGGAAAAGGCAGCACGTCCCTCCCAGATGGTGGCCTCCAAGGTGCACAGCAGCGCATAGCGGTTAGACCCCATCACCTGTGCCCCGTTGCATTGTCATCCCCAAGCTGGGCTCTTACTGTCCTCAAGCTGGGCTTTTATTGTCCTCAAGCCCTGCTTTTTACCAGGCCTTGGAGGAACATGTCCCTGACAAGGTGCTTGACAGTCCCCGGTCTCCTGCAGACGTGTTGACACACATCCTGCGGGCGAGCGAAGGGATCGGTTTCCCCCCCAGTCACACCAGGCAAGTGCTGGATGTTAATTTACTTTCCTCCTCACTCAAGTTCCCCTGCTCTGGTGTCTCTCTGCCACATCTTGCCCCTGGCTCCCCAGTGTCATGCCTGCAGAGGGAAGCCACGGGGGCTGGAAACGCCTGGCTCCTCAAGCAGGATAATTGAATGTGACAGGAACACACTAACCAGGAGACCTTGCTGCCTCCAGCTGATTTGCATTGCAAATAGCATTTTAAAATAAAGAGTGATGAGGGTTTGTTGTGTTTTTTTTTTTAATCCCCTCTTTACAGGGAAGCTGGATGCAAAGATCCATCAGGGAGCAAAGAAGGGGTTAATGAAGCAGAAGGTGATGGTGTGACCTGCAGGGAGCAGTGCTGGGTTCCCACGAAGCTCCTGAGTGCCCCTCACTGCCAGCGGTGCCAGGATGGTCCTTGGCTCTGGAGACCAGGTGCAAGATGGATCTGAGAGAGCTTTTAGGTATCACTTTATCCATTGTGTACTACAAGCATTAAAAGATGTTTTTCTGCAGAGCTCTTGCCCAACAGCCCAATGTCTTCTAGGAAGTCCCACACTGCAGGACAAGGGTGGGCAGGAGGTGGAATGTGGCGGGATGAGATTCAACCAAGTGCTGGCATCTTCACATCTCCTGGGAGTGCTGGATCTCAGGCCAGGAGCCAGCCAAGCCCCATCCATCTCAGCAGGCAGGAGGTAGCTCCATCCTGGCTTTGCCAGCATCTCCCTCCCCAAAGTGTGCCTTGAGGTCTTCTGGATGAGGTCAGACACATCATGGCATTGACCTCTCCAGGGAAAGGCAAGAAGGGGGTGAATGAAGGGGGATCACTCCCAACAGCCAGAGAGCCCGAGTCTTGTTCATCCTGTGCTTGGGGATGCAGGGGCCCCGGGGTGAGAGGTGGGGCTCTGTTCCCACTTGGAAGCTTCCACTCCTCCTCCCAGCTCTTGGCATTGCCGCAGAGCAATTGCATTACATCTCTCCTCATTTGCCTCAAAGCAGCAGCCACTCTGGAAAAGCTGCCCCCGTCTGGTGGCTTCATGCAGGAGTTAACAGCCTGCCCTGCCTTACAAATGAGATTGATTTCTCCTTTTTTTTTTAATCCTTCATATTCAGCACAGGAGCTCATTCCACATCCTGCGAGCGTGTCAGGTCACCTTGCTCCAAGCTCTGTCTTGCCACAGTCTGAGTGTTCCTTGCTCCCTGAAGCCCACCCTGCTCAGGGGGAACAGAGCAACCCTGTGTACCATTGAGTGCTTCTCCTCCCTGGGGCTGCAGTGGGGAGCAGAGCTGGGCTGCTGGGGCTGTCACTGGTTGTCCCAGCCTCTGCCTCAGTTCCTGTTGCTGCCCCAGCCTTCATCCCAGCTCTCTGTGCTCCCTTAAACTCAGCACCTGGGTGCCGTGGTGCTGGAAACCACCTGGCTAGTGCTGCCAGTTGCCCTGGGAATTGTCTTCTGGCTCCTTTTGCTGCCTGTGGAGTCTCTGAGATGCAAGAGATGCTGGATCTGGGTTCAGTGCCCACTCACCTCATTCGGAAAACCCATGTGGGTGTTTCAGCTCTGTGTTACCTGGGCTTGGCATGGAGGTTATGGCATGGGAGCTGCAGAGGGAGATGGGCTCCTGCTGCTTCACCCCATCCACCAGCCTGTCCCCACCCCTCAGGTACCACCATATGGTCCCAATCAGCTGTGCTGGGACTTCTGGTCACTTCCCTGCACGTGTTTCTCTTCTTGGATCATGGAGGTCCTCCTTGCTTGGGTGGATGTGCCTTGAGAGCGAGGGACACGTCTGCAGTGCCTGTGGGAGCAGAGCTGGAGAGGGAGAGGGGGCTCAGGATGGCATCCTAGGGTCCTGGTGCCATGGGGAGAAGGAGGCCAGAGAGAACTTGGCCTTGGTGGCTGGGCAGAAGAGGCAGGACTTTGCCAGAACTGCCTGCAGTTAGTTCCCTGAAGCACCTGCTGGAGGGGGAAGGGGCTGACCATGGATCAGCTGGCCCAATGGCACTGCTTGTGGGACCAAGGTGGGGAGATGCTCTTCCAGGCATGGAGAAGGAGCCTCTGGTTACGTGGCAGAAAACATATTTCCCAAAATATCATTGCTGTGTCTGCTGCTCTGCCCTGCATCTCACTGGCATGGCCTGGGATGAGCAGGATGCTCAGGACACCAAGCACCTGGGGTGGAAAAGCACCCTAGAAGGATGTTCTCATTTGTGGGGTTGCTGGGGAATGAGCAGGCTCATGCACCAGCCTGTCCCTGGTTTGTTCCATTCTCCCAGCAGCAGATGGTTTTCCCACCCTGAGGACCATCATTCCTGGTCTTGGATGTGCTGAACATCACCAAATATCCTGAATACTCCAGGGATGGTGGCACCTCTCTGGGCCAGGATGCCCCAGGTGGGTGGGTGGAGGTGGTGGTCCCTGCTCCACCACCTTCGCTGCAGGACCATGGCCTGGCTCCAGGCTGCCAGGCTGGGATCGTGCTCCCAGTGCCAGTTTGCATCTCTGGGCTGATTTTGGTGCATTTTGGGGCCCCAGCTAGGACCCCCTGCTGATATGAGCCGGTATTTCCTCTCTGGGTGGTGTGGGGATGATGCCAGGGTGTCGGGAGACAGTCGATGTCCTGGGGACGAGGTGGGCTGGGGCTCAGCGGGCTTCCAGGAGGGATGATGCTCCCTCCATCCTAGTGTGATAAAAACTGTTTGGGGAGGAAAAATGATGGCATGGGGCATGACCTCGTGGGTTTTTAGGGTGGATCCGGGTGCCCCAGGGCACACATGTGTGGTGACCCCCTCCGTCAGAGCAGCACCCAAAAACCAGCCTGAGTGGTTCTGTGCTGGTGCGCTGAGCTGAGCGAGCCCTGATGGTGCAGCGACGGGAGGTGGGCATGGGCTCCCGCAGGACACCCCACAGCGTGTAAAACACCCCCAAAAAGAGCCCCCGCCCCCCTTCGCGAAGTGACGTACGGTGGCAAACACTCCGCTCCGACTCCACCTCCTGCTCCGGCCTCCGCCTTTTCCACCCGCGGCCCCG